AAATGATACTTAGACGTTTCCATCTTTTCAGACGCTCCCAAATATTCGAATTTTATATTGATTTCTTTTGTTGAAGTCTTCTCCAGGGACTAGATATTTTGAACATACTGTAGGTTGTCTTCAATCACCATAACGAATGAATGCATAATCTAAATTAGCTTCAATAAGTTCTGCCGTATATGGTTCTATACACTATATATCTTCCACGAGGTCATGCTACTTGCTATGATGAACAAATGTTTCCTCAGAACAGTTTGGGAAGGCGTCAAGTATCAACCAGGATGTCACAGAAGTTTCATTAGTTGAACGATGCTGATGAATAAACATTGGGTGAAGAGCATCAGGAAGAACCATTTCCCATTGAAAGATTGGTAAGTGCAAGGTTCACTGTTAGCCAAATAATAAAGAATATGTCTTCCCTCCTGACCGTTGCCTTCTGGATTATAATATGGTGTTGTTCTACTAGTACCTATACCTTTTCATTGATTGATTCACGATTCACGTGACATAAAAAAAGCATTGCAAAGAAGACCCGCTATCGGAATGGATGTGAGATGGCATACCAGATACACAAAAACTTGATAACCGAGGAGGTAAAAGTATCTGGAAAAGGTCATGCGAAAGTAAATCGAGAAAATTGGCGTTCTAATGGAGTTGTTGCTTTTTATGAGATGACTTCTTGTATTTCTATGAAATTAAGGTTTATTAAGCTCAGCACAAATAGGGCAAATAGAAGTAATTTGTCAAATATCCTTTATTGAATACGGAAGGTTTCTAGTCCATACGAAATAGTTCATTAGTGAGCCTAATGGATGACACAAATCTTGGATAAAGTTGAAAACATGTTACTATTGAGAGTATTAAGTGTTACTTGCTCCGCAAATTCTTGAAAATGTATCAGCAACTATATTATCGTGCCCGAGACGGTAGATCATGTAACAGTTGCATTACAATTATAATTATTGTCACCTCATGATTTTCTCATTTTCAATTTTACTTGACTGCTTAGAATGGAACATAAACGATACAGCTTCTTGATCTGTTATAAGTTCAGAATAATGTCCTGAAAGATAGTGTCTCCATTTACGCAAAGCTTCAAAAATAGCGAAAGCTTATTTTCTATTAATGAGTGATGATTATCTTCGTTCACAATCAGTTTTTGAAGAAAAAAAAACGCTACTTGTTTTCCTGCTTGGTTAAGTGTAGCAGCAACGACGAAATTAGACGCATCACTTTGAACTACCACTACTGGATATTTGTTTCATTAGGTGAGTTCCAATATCCAATCTATGAGCATCCCGCTGAAAATTTTGACAGTTATCACGTGTTTAATTCATTTCAAATCAATTTAAAATTACGTGATAAAATATCTATATGCTCGCGAGTGGATATTGGAACGCAAGAATTTATAGACCAGATGAGAGAATCTCAAAATCTTTTATCAGATTTTGGAGTATAAGAAAAGTTTTAAAGTTTATCAAGCTGTGTATGTTGTCAAAAAATTTTAATATCCATTTGGAATAATACAGGTAGATTGACTAGTAGCTTGAGTCTGTCGGGATCAGGTTTAAGAGTTTTATTTTCAATTTCATTACCTAGCATGTTAATTGATCTTCATGAAAATTTGCAATTTTCTTAATTTAGTGTCACATTGTATTCTACCGGGTGCCCACGAGATTACTTTCCGGCTGCCATTTTTTTATCTGTTTATTGATATCAATGAAACTTGGTAGGCTTGATATTCTAACGAAATGCCATTTTTGTGCATTCATGACAAGTTTTCCTGACTTCCGGTTTCACCGGAAATTACCGAAACTTTCGATTTTCAAATGGCACCCCCTGTATATTTTTTGTTTTTTGGATTCTACAGATCGTTTTACGTCCTAATGTACCACTTTTAAATCGAACTTTGTCCAAATTTCGTTTTTAAATTAAATTTTAAGTAGAAAAAAAAAATAGCCTACATAATAAATAGTCCCCAGTACATCGACCTTAAAATTTTGTAACTCATGTACACGCCCAACTTCCTGAGCGGCTTCATAACACCAAGTCGGACCATAATTTTCATGTCTCCACCCTGGGCGATGGGACATTGCTGCGCTAGCTCTTCGTGAAGTTGTCGTTCTGACGTCCCTAAAGAAGTTGATACATGTACGTGTAGTTTCAATGCCAATCGACTGTTTTTTATATTACATTAACAATATCACATTTGTCGGACAAAAACCATGTGGCTTTGGGGAAGGTCCGACGCCCTTAACATGTCGCTGTGGCGTCCCTGAGGAAGTTGATACATGTACGTGTAGTTTCAATGCTAATCGACTGTTTTTTACATTACATTAACGATATCACATTTGTCGGACAAAAACCATGTTGCTTTGGGGAAGGTCCGACACCCCCAACATGTCGCTGTGGCGTCCCTAAGGAAGTTGATACATGTAGGTGTAGTTTTAATGCCAATCGACTGTTTTTTGTATTACATTACCGATATCATATATGTCGGACAAAAAGCACGTGGCTTCGGGGGAGTCCGACGCTCTCAACATGTCGCTGTGGCGTCCCTAAGGAAGTTGATACATGTACGTGTGTTTTTAATACCAATCGACAGTTTTTTACATTACATTAACGATATCACATATGTCGGACAAGAAATTTGAGACAATCAATGAAAAAATTGAAATTAGTTTGCCTTAACGCAACGTGCATATTAGTCAGTTTATTATTTACCTACTTTGACAAATACCTGTGGGGCCCTGTGTCATATTCCCTGATCTGTTTTTTTGATAGTTCTCCGAGTATTTACGGAAATTATTCAGTAAACGGTCATTCAAAACCACGCGTGTGAGAAAGAATGGATATTCAGTCGTGTTTTTTGTGCGATCTCAGGAGTGAAAATTCTGAATTTCGGCAGAAATTGATCAAAAGGACTATTGTTGTCCGACTGACTTTAATACTAATTTTATTTGTCCGACATTTACTACACATGTTTAAAAATTACATTGTCATTCATAATTATTTTTGTCGGACATACATGTATCAACTTCCTTAGGGTCGCCACAGCGACATTTTGGGGGCGTCGGACCCCCTCAAAGCCACGTGATTTTTGTCCGACCTATGTGATATCAATAATGTAACATAGAAAACAGTTGATTGGCATCAAAACCACGCGTACATGTATCAACTTCCTCAGGGACGCCACAGCGACATGTTAAGGGCGTCGGACCTTCCCCAAAGCCACATGGTTTTTGTCCGACAAATGTGATATTGTTAATGTAATATAAAAAACAGTCGATTGGCATTGAAACTACACGTATATGTATCAACTTCCTTAGGGACGTCAGAACGACAACTTCACGAAGAGCTAGCGCGGCAATGTCCCATCGCCCAGGGTGGAGATATGAAAAATATTGTCGGACTTGGAGTTATGAAGCCGCTCAGGAAGTTTGGCGTGTACCGTGTACATGAGTTACAAAATTTTAGGGTCGATGTACTGGGGACTAAAAATAAAAATATTTGAACGAAAATTGAGAAAAATGTCGTAGTGTATTATATCGTTGGATTCGCTTCAAAATACTGCATTTAGTAATGTTATGAAAGTGATATGTTCCTATTCTAGTTTTTGAGCTAGGGTAAAAATACTAAAATAATGAAGTTTACAGCCCTCTATCAAAAAAGTTTACAAAGATAAAATTCAGTTTGTATTTTTCTGAAATTTAGTAAAGTATGTAGAGTCATTTTAGGATGATCATGGCACTCTAGTTAAGAAATTAAAATTTAATTTAAAAACAAAATTTGGACAAAACTTGATTCAAAAGTGGTGCATTAGGACGTAAAACGATCTGTAGATTCCGAAAAACAGAAAATTTACAGGGTGTGCCATTTAAAAATTAAAAGTTCCGGTCATTTCCGGAAAAAACCGGAAGTCAACAAAACTTGTCAATAATGCATAAAAATGGCGTTTGGTTAGAATATCAACCCTACCAAGTTTCGTTGATATCGATAGACAAATAAAAAAATGGCAGCCGGAAAGTGATCTCGTGGGCACCCGGTATAACCGCTCGCATGAAGTTCTGAAGATTCAAGTAATGATTTTCTTGATTCATTTCACATATCGTCACAGTCAAATAAGAAAATACACCATACAATGTATACTCATTAACAACATGCTGGTTTTATAATTTTCGTTTTTTGTAACCAAAACTTGAACACGCGAAAGTGAACTACTGCTTTCAATTACTTCCTTTTGAAGTAGTCTCTTCACTTTTCCCTGAATGAAGGACTGATCTTCTTCTGAATATCTGTGAGACTTTATAGCAATTGATTTACAGTCTTTTGATAGATTACGAAATAATGAAGGACTTGAACGAGATTCTATTTTAGCTTAAATAAGGCAGCAAATTGATAAAATAGGTTTTGACAAACCAAAATCATGTTGTTCCATCACATCGTGGCCAATTATAACATCAGTACATAGTTTTGGCAAGACAGAAATGTTTAAATTAGGATAACTATAATTGAATAGATGTTGAATTGATAAAAAATGTACTGAAAAAGAAGTCAAAATTACTAGCATGCATCATAAAATCTATAGGAAATATAAGAAGAAAAATGCATAACAACAATAACAGAAGCTTTGATTAGTTGATTAAAAAAATTACCTGTAAAGAGCAATTTACCCAAGCAACTGGTTATTCCTTTAGGGATAGCTAACAATAAAGGTTCAATTTATGTTTAAAACAGAAATAGGATGGGAAGAGTACTGTACTGTACATATTTGTAAGTATTTTATAATAATTAGTAGGCATTATAGAGTACAAGCTTTTTTTTTAGCACAAGACTTCTTGGTATCTATTTAGATAAAAAATTATAAAATGATCTACAAAAATAACAGGTATTTTTGAGGAAACTTTTGCAGTTAACAATTCTAAAATCCTCACAAGTATCTAACTAGTCCAGTACAATTCTACAATTCACTTTCGATCAAAAACTATGCATGTACTTACTCAAAACCAACTGTGTTCCGCACTCAGCGCAAAGATACTTTTGCTCGGCCATTCCGATTTCGGGACAAATTCGGAGTTCGTATTGTCCTCGTTCGCAAGCAACGACGTGAGCACATTCCCTGACAATCGAAGACATGCACTTGTAATGGCAACAGTAGCCGCAATCGTCGCACATGTACCAGGCTTGGACCACGCTCCAAATTGTTCCGGTGCAATGGTCGCAGTAGGGATGCGTGGCTGTTTTTAGTAGAGGCTGTAGTTTAAGGTGATGTCCTTTGATTGTCCTATTCGATACGCCGCTGGATTTGTTACCTGGATGCCTAAAATACAATACATTTAGTGAAATATTTATTAGGAACTTTACTTTTATTGTTTTTTATTTATACAACCAACTCTTGGTTTCCTAGAGATTTCAAAAACAATTTCAAGCAGTATTCTAAAGAACAAAGTCCCCCCTGTTAAAAGATGGTAGTGAAACCAATGAGTGGAACCCCCCAACCAAAACTTCAAGAAAATATTTAAAAACGCCTGACGAATCTTTTTCATGGAGGAATATGATGGTTCCTAATTAGCTCTTAGGTATATTCGTTAGTAATTTACTCCTAATTTCATCTATTATATCAATTTTGTCCAAGTAGGCCTTGATAGAAGTTAGAATTAGATACTTACTGTGGATCAGCCATTGCTTCCCGGTGCTCTTGCTTCCTCAATCTAAGTTCAATCAAATGTCTGACCAGCCACTTTCTCTCAATGGAACATTCAAAATTTTCTAGTATCAGTTCTTTACATCGGTTAATTGCTTGTGTTAGGTCGTTTTCAGATGCTTCCTATTGACAAGAAAAAAGGACATGTTTTTTTTTTTACTTTTCAAAATTCAGTACAACATAGTAAATAATTCCATTCGGTATTTTAGTTATCAATCTGAAAACATAGTACACCTAGGTGCACCTGTATGTGTATTACCGAATGTTACTAGGGTACCCTGGTAACATTAGTTACAACTTAGAGATAATTTTGTAGCAAAGAATCAAAGGATAACGCACACCTAACATGGGATTTTCAGGCTTTATGGATTTTGCTCATTTTTTGATATGTTGTAGAGGATTTAATTCTGAACAACCTTTAAATGGGCCGAAATCTTGTAGGTATTACGGTCTTTGAGATGTGAGCGTTGAAAGATGAACTTTTTTGCTACTTTTTGTGTGGAGAGTATACGAGATACTGGTGCTACTGGTGTCTATCAGTCAAAATATTGACAGGTTCACATATTTTATGTCACTTCAAAATTAATGTCAACTGGTTAAGGCCGGGATCGCACTGGGGTCAATGTTGGCGCCAGTGCGGTCCTGGCATTAGCCTATATTGACAATAATAATAATAATAATAATAATAATAATAATAATAATAATTTATTAACGATCAAAGACCATTTACAATAACATTCATTTACATTAAACTTAAGTAATTCTTAATGTCTATCTTAAACTTATTGAAAGAGGAGTTAAAAAAATCAACAGTAGGTGGAAGCCTATTTGCTTCTCTGCATATTCTAGATATAGGTGAATAAAAACCATAATTTGTTACATGGGAGGATACACCAAAGGTTATATTTTGTCGAGTTTGTCTTGTTGGTACCTTAAAATTAATTAGTTGCAATAATGCCGGTGAAACAATTAAACCGTTCAAAACCCTGAACAATGTGCATAGATCAAAATACAATCTTCTTTTTTCCAGTGACGATATTTCCAAGAGAGCCAATATGTCACTATATTGAAGTTCATCTCTTGGAATATTTAGTCGATATCCTACAGGACGCAGAAACTTTTTTTGGACTCTCTCAATTTCATTGATCCATTTTTTATAATAGGGAGACCATACAGGACAAGCATATTCAGTGACAGATCTGACTACTGCACAGTAAAACATTTTTCAATGCATATATGTTATTGAAATCTTTCAGTGAACGTGACAGTGACATCTGTTAATGACGTGAAATATGTCGACCTGTCAAAATACTGACTGATAAACACCATAGGCGGTTCTAGGTGGGGGCTTGGGGGGGCTAAGCCCCCCCAAATCTGGAATTAGCCCCCCCAAATTTAAATTAGTGATGAGTGGTTTGCAGTCCCTGAATAAAAAATATTCAAGCGTTAGGATTAATTAACTACATAATTTCATTAATTTCATTGATTTAATACCTTTATCTAATTATTTCATAAAATTTTATTCAATTATTTCATAAATATCCCAAATAAGGACGTCTGGAAACAGAGGCATCCCTAGCCCCCACCGCTAGGGACAGGGTTGCCTCTGTTGCCTGTAGGTGTGTGTAGGGTTGCCAACCCTTCCGATTTAGGCGGGAGTCTCCCGCTTTTCTACTAAGCCTCCCGCCTCCCGCGCCCTTAAACAAAAACTCCCGCTTTTCCCAAAAATAGAAATTACATGAAATATAATTCTGAATTAGGTGCCCTTATTTATTTTTACCTACGAGCGTGTGGTGAAGTGCACTTTACCGCACTTATTTGCTAATGGAAAGTAACACTTTACCGCACACTATGCGGTAAAGTTACTCTTTACCCTTAACGGCTTGACCGCAACTGCCGTTGCGTGCGGTAAAGTATCACTTTCCACATTTGTTAGGAAAATAACTATTACCATAATTTTAATGTTTCAATCTAGCAACCCAACGCAAATGGGGAGCTTTACGCTTAACGTCGATAGGCGGGCGCACTTTGATAATATTATTTGAATCTTTCTTTATTCCTAATTTCGAACGAAAACAGAACTACTCAAGCTTGAGTGCTTGGGTATTAAATCTGTACTGAAGGTTTCCTACCTTCGTTGTGACGCTGACTGTAGATTGTAAAGGGGGTTTGAGCTTCAAGAATTCTTTACCAAACTCCACTTTATTTAAGCCAGGTTCGGTTGACATGGTCCAAGTATACTTGGAGTCTTGGACGCTGCGCACGCCTCACTTGGACGAACACTTTCATCATATTAACTGTTTATCCAAGTCCAGGATAGGTCTTAACATCTAACACCCAAGTAAGTAGGCAGGCTGCCAACTTACTTGGTCCAAGTAGAAGTTGTGTAGTCCAGTGCCGACAAAACTTTTCCTTTTGTACTAACTATTATTGGTAAGTCTGGCAACATACAATTTTTGATTTCGTCTTGAATTTAAGAATTTGTTTAAATTGCACCACTGCTTTCAGAGATCATTGACCGTCCCGTTACTTTTCGTACACTCTGTATATGATAAAATGTGACAAAATTAGGGCATGGCACCTGAAAAAAAAATTTGTCTGCGGCGAAACATTATTTTTCCCTCCCACTTTTCAATTTTGAAAATCTGGCAACCCTGGGTGTGTGTAATAAGTAGAATGAAACTTTTGTATTTTTCATAAATAAATAAAAACAATTTTGACTAAATATTTATTAAAATATAAGGTTATTGGGCGTGGCAGCCAAAAAAAACCAGCCCCGGCCCAAGCTTGGAAGCGCGTATGGAAATTGCTGCAGTTCGCTTTGAAGGGGTTATTGACCCTTTGGCTCCATAGGCGAGGCCGGCGAGCGAAAACGCGCGAATTCAGTAGCCAAGGCAGCGCTCGTTCCGCCGCCTTCCCACTTATTTGATTTCGATTTGTATTGAAAATCCGATGCCGGCATTTCGTGAAATCGTAGTGCTGTATTTTTCATTGAATTTTCTGAGGTTTTTCGTGGTTGTTTATTTTTTTTTGCAATGGAGGTGCCATCTACATCTACTGTGCCCGTGCCGGTCCCCAATAACAATTTAGACTGTGTTTGTATTGTGTGCTGTTTAATAAAAAAAGGATTTTCTAGTCGAAACTTTGAAGAGAAAAGGGACATTATTATTTCGGGTAGGCTAATGGATCCTATTAATTTAGAAACGAAATTTGCGAAGTCGGCAAAGAAATTCACGAGGCATTTTCACGTTGGATTTTATGAGAAATATGAATGGTTAACCGGTTGCAAAATTACAAATGTACCTATATGCATATTTCTAGAAAAGTAAATGACCTTGAAATTTGTAAAAATTTCCGCCTGCGGTGCTTTACACGACAGGGGGGGATTACCCCCCTGTAACCCCCCTCGGCCGCTTCCGTAACTCTAAAGACCACCGCACGCCACTGGATTTTATCATAATTCACATGTTTAATTGATTTATCTGGAGGTCTATTCTCTATGAGTTTATTATTTACATTATCGTTTTTAAGACTAAGATGGGGTAATGGTCTGTCAGGTCGTTTATCACTATGGTTGATTTTAGATTATTTTTATAGAATTTCATTATGACATTTTATATCTCTGCATTTTATCAAACAGTGATCAATACAGGAAGCACGAGTTCCAGATACTCTAGTAGGTTTGTTGATAAGACTGATGAATCCAAGACCATACAGTAAAGTCAAATAATCATTTGCATTGGGCGAATTTAATTTCAAAATATTTATGTTAACATCCCTTACAAACACATAAGAACGATTTTGGTCTATGACCATCTCATTCAGGATATCACCAATACTACAGTGAACCAATACTGGCTAGGAACACATTTTTATCAATTGCGAAAGACCTATAAGTAGCCAAAATATCAATCCTTCTATGATTTTTTTGAACAGAGACCCTAATAACCAGTGGCGGCTCGTATATTAAAAATGTGGGGGTTGCAATTTCAATTGTACAATCATGCATGTTTTTCGTGAAAGTCCAGAATAAATGTCCTGGTGAAAGTCCTTTTTTTGCTAGTTACAGTTTGTTCAATTTTTAAATTTGGAGTAGGCCTTCCAAGTCTTTTTATTTCAGCCTTATCGGTTGATGAACGCCCACAGAATGGCTCGACAATTAAATTTTGAACAGAATTCTTTTTTTTTTTCACCCCCCACACGACAAAACTTCACAAAACAAACCTAATCTGCGCTGCGAGCAAAAAAAATAAACAAAGTTTGCACTTAGCTTGCAACCTGCTGGAGCTTATGGAGCGGATTTCGAATCCACGCAAAGACAGGCAACCAAATGTGCGCCGTCATATAATAGATCGGTTTGCTTTGGAGCTGCAATCCAGCGACTCGACGCCGCTACTCGAAGTCGCCGGCGGCCTGTCAGTTATTAATATTTTGGCGAAGTTGGTCAAATTATTTTATTAATTGACTGCGTATTATGTAGGTCCCAAATTTTGGTATAATTTATTTTTAAATATAATTAGGTACTAAAATTTAGTTCTACTATTTTTGTTTTATATTTTTTAAGTTTTGTTTTGGGGGTTGCGCAAACCTGCAAACCTAAAGAAGAGCCGCCACTGCTAATAACCCTGACTGGCTCCTTTACCATAAGGAGATGTTTAACTAAATAATGAATTTCAACACATCCTACCTTATTTATGGCCAATTGTAATTCCTCGCACACCAAATTATTAGGCAAACTTTGGTCAACGTCCTCACTGACCGACGTTTTTCCTGATACAGTGGAAGCAGGACTGGATGTTATTGGTCTATTATTATCGTCTTTGTTTTTGTTATTGCTCATGTTGATTATGCTAATCAGTATTTTTCGATAATTAATTGTTTATTTATTTGAAATATAAATAAAAACATTCCATTCGTTTTTGAATTTTGGATTAAAAACAGCTGATTTTTGACAATAGCGAATATTGCAAGTTGCAACAGAGCAGAGTGTCAATTTATCCTTGTTCTTTATATTGTTAAAAATAAAGACAGAGCTTATGCAAATGATCTGAAACCGTCAATTTGTTATGAGAACAGTTTTATTCTTTTCACACCTAGGAGGAGCTCCGGAACAGCTCCAGGGCTTCACGCGCTTATTCCTTTCAAAAAGTGTTTGTTGCAACAGGCATCTGTTCCCTGCAAATCGGGGGCGACTGAGCACCGGAGCGAGTACCTACTCCGTGCACCCAGTTACCAGTCAGTGCACCTTAAAAAAGTGCTGCACTCTGAACCCGAACGGGCGAGCATTCGCGGAGTCGAAATGAAGCTCACTCCGTGACTGATAAAACTTGCTCTGACTCCACTTCAACTTTGTGTTGAGTATCGGAATCCAGTTAGAGTATGATGGTAGATGGTTAGAGGTTTTAAATTTTGTATCTGCTTGCTATCTGAATTCCCATTCTCAAAACAGGGGAGCAACGGAACAATATTGGAATCTAAGATTGGAATCATTCTCAAGAGGATCGAGAACTCTGTTCAGATCAATACCTACTTGGAGTAGATACAAATAAATAGTTCTGAACAGGAAAGAAGTATTTTCCATTTTCAGCATAATCATTTCACTGTATCTGTAGGTTTGTTCTAAACACAAATTAGTTTAACCCATCACGTCCCATAACGGTTTTGGAACCACTCTGTATACGAATATACCGGTTTCTTGCTGTGTTGGAAAATAACTGACAAATTCTCTTCCTGGGATACACTTTAACCCTAAGCTTTTACCCACTTTTGGATACACTCTTCACTGCAAGTCACGTGTAAGCATATTCTCGCTTCCGCATCGCATAGAACAAACTACTTGTAGAAACTATAAACACAGCATATACAAAAACAATCAGCAGGCTAATTTGAGTGACAGCCCGTGTAATAAAGGAATTCATGGTCGGGATGTCACTAGCGGCCATTTTGGGATACGAGACAGGGTCTGATTAACAATAATTCAGGTTTTTTCTTTCTGGTCATAGAGTCGTATTGGCTTTAAATAAACTAATTTATTATTACTTACATATAATAATATCTATAATTACTAATTTATTATTATTATTGAATATACAAGACTGATAACAGATAATACCATAAATGACAACATGAATATACTAAAATCATTTTGAAAATCATAGCTGAAATTTCGCTCTACACCGCACGCCTATGACATCCGTCAAAAATATACAAAATAAAATAAAATTTTGGCGCCCCTGCCGTTTAATGACAGGATGATATCCCCTAATGCCGGCGTGCGCAGAAAAGATGTGCGTGAGAGTTAGCCATGCATGTGCAACTCTTATGGCGCAATTTGTTCCGCTAAAAGCCTGCGACTACAGACGGCAGAGGTGCTGTCGTCCAATGCTGTTGTCAGAATTATACATAAAAAGTCCAGATTATCTTACGAGTCTACTATCTACTATTGTTAGTGACAAAAAACCGTGCATTTAAGTGAATATATAGCATTCTGTTGTGATAAGAAAGTGTTCGTAGTATTCGCACGTTGCAGGTTTGCCAGGTGCCATAGGTAGTTCTGTAGTTCGACGAACGCGCCTTGTTGCCGGCAATCATGGTTAATCTTAAGCAATGCAAAAAGTGCGAACAAAGCATAGCAAAGTCTAGCCTAAAGTTGCTATGCGGAGATTGTAGAGGCTATTATCACCTTAGATGTGGAAAAGTCGATGAAGTCGATGCAAGAATAATGATAGAAAACAAGGCGCCGTGGAGGTGTCCCCTATGCGAGAACGACATTGAAATCGACAATCTGCCAAAAACACAACAACGCAAATCCCTCTTGTAACCCAACAGTCATCTTCGCCATCGAGAAGTACAGAGGAGCTAGAGTTAAAAGAGATGATCAGAGACTTACAGAAGGAAATGCGTGAGTGTAGGAAATCTGTGGATTTTATCAGCCAAATGTATGAGGAAGAAAAAAAACGAACCAAGGCCCTCTCCGTCATGGTAAACGAGATTTCTAGAGAAAATCGGACCTTGAAAGAAGAAGTGGAGAAGCTCAAAAGTGTACGTAACAAGGAAGAGAATAAGAAGCTTGATAAAAACCTGTGTATCACTGGCCTGATAAGTGATGAGAGCGACAAGGAAAATTTGCAAAACAAACTGCACTCTCTGTTTCAGGCTTTAGAAGTGACTGTGCCAGAATCTGAGTACAAAGTTCTTGAAAACATTGAGACAAGAAACGGGATGAAGACTGTTATTTCACTGGAGAATAAGGACAAAAAATACGTCATTCTGAAAGCCCGTGCGAAGAAAGGAAAAATTACGACATCCAGCGTTGGCGTTGGTGACGAAAATACGCCTATCTATATCAATGAAGATATGTCCAAAGACACCTACACGCTTTTTAAAAAGGCAAAGGAACTTAAAAATATGGATTATAAGCATGTATGGCATCGTGATGGGAAAATCTTGGCGAGGAAAAATGATAATGATAAACCAGTCCACATACAAAATGAAGCTATGTTAGATGAACTTTTAGGTTAGTCAAATGCATTTCTATCTAAAATATAATTATTACGTAATACTTTTCTGAAATAAAAATGGCGTTTAACGATATACTTGACGACTACCAAAACATCGTAAACTACGAAATTGATGATATTGGCAATGCCGTCCATTTAAAAAATGATAAGTCTATTAATTTGATTCACTTTAATATCCGTGGCCTGTGTTGCCATTATGATGAGTTGGTTGCGCTCTTGGAACTTTCAAAAATTGACTTTGAAGTTATCATACTCTCCGAAACACATACTATTTATGACCTTCAGGATTTCAAACTAACGGGTTATGACATATTTTTTAATGATAGTCAGATTAATAGTTACGATGGCATGGTAGTTCTTGTAAAATCTTGTTTAAATCCGACAGGAAAAATACTACAATATGGTCATTCAAAATTTCTCAGAATTACATTCAACAAAAACCAAAAAACTTTTAGTGTCATAGGAATTTACAACTCCCCCTCCCTAAATCGTGATCAGTTTATTATAAATTTAAATGCACTCTTAAGCTCGAATTCTTTAAACAATGATTTCGAAATTTTTTGTGGGGATATAAATATAAATATCTTTGGAACAGACTCCACCTGTCAAGATTACCTAAACTGCTTATATGAATTTGGATTTAGAAAACAAATATATTCTATAACAAGACCTAGAAGCGGCACATGCTTAGATCACTTCTTTTTAAAAAGTAAAAACAATAATATCATGACAAAACCTACTGTTCTAAAAAATTATATGACTGACCACTTTCCTATAATCTTAAATATTGACACAACAAACAACGAGTCACATCCCTAATAACACAGTAACATCGCAGAAACATTCCAGAAACATCCATCAGGGATAATGAAGACGTCCCTGGGAGGTCCCTATTTTCCTGGGGACATCCCTGGGATGTTGCAGGCAACAGCCGTGTCATCATTTGCGATGTCCTATAAACATCTCTCATCCGGGGCAGGTGTAAGAAACATCCTCTATATGTTTCTAGTATGACTTTAATACGTGAAAGAATTTTAGGATTATGGATTAAAAATTACCTAATTCAATAATTTTCAATTTTCGTTCTATTTTCTGGAAGTCAGATAGAACTTTTTCCAAAAAAAAAACAAAAATTGAAAATTATAAAATTAAGTAGGCACATCAGTTTCCAATAACATTTTTTATTGAAAAAATAAGGTACATGCATACTTATATTGATTATCTATCAACTAATAATAACCGACGGACAATTTTGCCTAAATAATGTAGTATTTATGCCCCGTCATGTCATCGAAAACCATAGTTTGGCAGTGGCAGCATGTTGTAGTGGGGGAGTTCGGCGTTTTCTTTTTTTTTTTGGTGCTCCAATTTCATAAAGGTACCATTAACTAACCAAAACAACCACAGAACCAAAATCCAAAGTTCTTGAAGTACAATTCAACTTGCACACCTAGAATGTAATCAACTATGAAAACAAAAAATAATTATTGGTTATTTTCTCTTACCTAATGAAGAATGAAGTTCGGGTTTTTAGGGGCTATTTATTAGAAAAGTTAGAAATTTCCTAACCGACGCCATATTGAAATTAAATAAACTAAACAATTGATAGTTATGCGACGTTATCTTTCAACAAATAATCTTTCTCACCAACTAATAAGCACTGGTAGGTCGCAGAGATCCTTTCGAACACAAAATGGCACAACTAGGTGTAGCGAAAAACCACAAATTGACAAATCCTCCACACAGCACGACGCCATTACGAAATAAAATTCCGCCCAACAACACAAGCGAAGCGCACAGGACGACCCGTTCGACTGATTCTGCCCGTCTGCGCTGGCTGCGGCGCCGACCCTACGTGGTGGCGTGCCCTCCTGTCCTGACCGGTACAAGTACAAATGCCTGAGCACGCGCCTGCGCCATACACTTCGGCTTCACGAATATTCACGATGTTTGAAAGTTGAAAAGAGAGAAGACTTTTATCAATACATATTTTATTTTATTCCAAGTTGTAAGTCGAATGAAAAATTAAATTTTGCTGTTGTTACAATACAAAATTAATATTAAGTACCTTATCTATATACATTACAGGTATATTATGGAATTTGAAATTAGTTTGTGTGTGTGATAGAGAAAATTGGCAAATTTAATACTGGGTCCTGCCGGTCTGAGGTCCTACCTAGTTTTGTAAAATAATGTTAGCCATTTTTCAGCTGTAATAAGTATCTAATTTTGAGAACGAAAAATCTTTTTGTCGATAGATATTTTCGAAAGGATGTTTCTAAAACATTTCAGGACAATCATCCTAGAGATGTTACATTACAAACATCGCAGCGATGTACCATTTATGTCGGAAACATAAGGACCTTAATGGTACATAAATAGGATGTTTCTGGGAGATCGGTGTTATTAGGGATCCCTTAGATAATTCCTATAATATTAA